TGTGTGTGTGTGTGTGTCTGTGGGAGGAATACGCTGCTGACATTCCCAAAAATGACATCATTTTACAGTAAAAGGGGAACATTGCTACTACAGCCCCTGAAGGCAGCCCAGCTGTCTACTTAGCAAACAGACACCAGACTATTTTGCTCTGATTGCATAACACGCAGGAGGAGCAACCAAATAATTTCTCGTACTAAAAACAGTTAAGCTATGCGCATTAAAAATACAACAGCTTGCTCGAATACCACACTGTGTGAAAACGTGACATTGAAAACAGCTGAGGAGAATAAAACCTCATTCTCAGTATCGCAAACACACATTACTGTACTAAAGTAATCCCGCAGTCAAATGAGCGTAATAAACTTTATTTGAATAAAAAAAAAAAAAAAGCTTGTGGTTATGCCTGCATGCAATTCAGCTCTTAAAGAGGAAAACCACTGTGAGATTAAAACAGGTTCATAATGCACCTTCCCTTTCACGTTCTGTATCTTTCACAGGCATCTAAGATCTAAGTGTATCTAGAAGATTCTGAGCCAGTGACGTTCTCTCTTTCAGCAGGCAAACTCGATGGTGGCTGAAAAACTGGGGTAATGCAGGGAGGGCTTTCATTGAATGCTGAGCTGCCAGGGTATTGCTCTTTGCGATGACTGATAGTCGGTCCAGTTCTGCAGCGCTTACGCCAGGTGAGCAATGTGTCACTCTTACGAGGGCAGAGAGGTGTCTGTGCAACATCCGTGCCCATAACAAAGGCTCGGCCCACAGGTTACGGTCTCCCTTCTCAAAGAGGAAGTCCTCATCCTGGAAAAAAAGAAGAGAATAAGAAGAACCTACATTCTTAAACTAGATTTTCTGAAGACAATGTGAGCAGGGCATTGACAGTGGAGACAATGGGCACTTTAAGGGTGTTGCTATGCAGTTGCTAAGGTGTTTTGAGTGAGTTTCAGTTCTTTGATATGCAGTAGGGTGTTCTGGGTGATTTCTAGGGTGTTAATAAGTGAATGCTTATTGGGCCATTTTAATAGACAGGTCATATAAAGTGCAACAGTTGGGTTCCGGAACTAAAAATCTAATTTATAGATACTGAATCATAACTTATACACCATTAAAGACAGAATCACTGTGGGCGGTGAGGTTGTAAATCAATGGTATATTAGGGTGACCATACGTGCCATTTTCCCAGGACGCATCCTG